ATAACTAATATTGTTTATGTAAATGTAATGAGGAATCCAAAGGGTAAGGTATTTCTTTTCCTTTTCATTCACATAAATCATTTACATTACTTAATGTGAATTATTTTAAGAGTTAACATTTTACTTGAACTTTCCACTGTAAATAAAGGGTATTTAGACAACAATATTGAATTCCTTCAATGTGTGGAAAACCTTTCCTTCCTACTTTAGAAGGTGAGTTAAACCAGCAAACCAAAACATCTCCACAAACCTTCTTTTTGTGGGTTTTGTTTTACTGAGGGTTAATTTGTACTGATTTCACTTACTTCCCAAAATAAAAATAATTAATTTTAAAACTAATGCAATTCAATGTTTGGATACTGAAAGCCAGAAAGTCTTCCTTAGTGCATGAAATTAAAAATACAGCCTTGTTTATTGACCCAAAAAGCCTAGCTATGAATGGCACCAATCCCAATGTAATAATAATGATCATTTTCATGCGAGTGAAATGGAGATTACTTTCAGAGATCTGTAACTTCAGAGGTCTTCTCAGAATAATTTCACTCTGATGTTTTTTCAATATTTCAAACACACTTTATTTTAATTTGACAGCTAAATACAGGGGGAAAACTTTCTCTAATTAAGAAGGCTTTCTTTGCAAACTGTGGAAGTGTTTGTGTTTTATAACGCTTTTCTGTTTTACGAGCCACAGGATATATAAAATAATTAACCTAGTCATTGTATCCAATAATTTTTGTTATTATAAAATCTTCTTTCTGTATCTTTAGTTTTCTGTACAGAAATGATGATTAATAGGAAAAAGTCAACTGGATACATATTCAAAATTAAATTAATGATTATATAATAAAACATTAATAGTGTTAAAATAAATTCTGAACATAATAAATTCCTACCTTTCTTCTTTTTATGACCTAACAATAATAATATGCCTTCTGTTAATATCTTTGTAGAAACATTCAAAATTCCTTTATCAAATTATGAGAGGTGTTGCTTCATAGTAGCAGTGAAGCATATAATTAGCAGCAGGGAGGTTTTTATATAAAATTCAACTAATCCCTGATCTTAGAGCTCCCTTCCCTTGAGATATATTACAGGCTTGAACAGGTTTCTAATTGGGATTCATCATCAAAACCAGAAATACCATGTTGTGTTAAGTAAAAGAAAAATGCCAATCACAGCAATAGTACAAGAGGGCACTGTTCAGGAAAAAAAACTCCTTCCAGTTGCATAAATTTTGTTGAAAGTAGGTCACACTCTAAGGAACATAAATGTGAATGTTGTAACAAGTATACATTTTTTGCTGTAGGCACAGTGTTGAACTGGGTCATGTAAAGAAACCTACTATAGCAAATGCACCACTCACACAAACAAAAAAGTGATTCATTTTGCAGGATCATGAACTACTGGCAAGGTTCACTATCCATTACAGCAATAGCTCAACTTAGAGGCCTTTTACATGATAACAGCAAAGATGGACAGAGTTGTGCAGTCGCTCATTTGACAGCTTCCCAATCGTTTCAGTTTTGTACACCGGGTAATCTGTCCTCCACTGGTTGCTTGTTAAACAGCTTGAATGGTCCAATGTTAGAGGACATTATTACAAAATAAACAAGATACAGTAGCAAGAAGTATTGGCATGAATGAACTCTGGTGGAAGTCGGCTACAGAAATGAGACCTGGTCAAGCAGATGAATTACAAGAATGAAATAATGGTGTGAAGCCGAGCCAATAACTGGTAGCATCCTTCCAGAAGAAGAAATGATCTATGCAATACTGGCAGAGATTGGAAGGTCTTATTCTAAAAGCCTTATATCCTGAAAGAAAGAAAAGAGAAAGAAAGAAAACTGCAAGTGATAATTAACAACCATGGAAGGGAGCATTCAATTTACAAAGTTCATTGGGGAATCAATAAGTGGGTGATTGAATGCTTCACTCTCATCTATACTCCAGGGAGTCACCATCAATCATTTTAAAGTCCTGGGGTTGCAGTGACTATCCAAAGATACTGTATACCCCAAAGCCCAGAGGTTAGATGTGCTGACTGCTGAGTGAAGTGGCCTAATTACTTTTTTCACTTAGGAGCCAGTGTCTTACATCATCATGGGGGAAAAAATTTCTCCATCTCAATTTGTTACACAGACAACCTTCTCCTATCTAGGCACCCATCCGAAAACTAGATTGTTTTTTTCCATGAAATGAATTCATCTATTCATTTTTTAAACATTTTACAGCATAGTGTTTTCTGAAAGTGCAACTACTATCTGTCTGCACACTTGTCAAATACTAAATAGAAGTTTCGTCTTCTTTCAAATTCTCAAAGAATATTGTAATATCAAAAAGAGTAAAATGTTTTACATGATATAATTTTTATGATTCTAAAATGTATGAACAAAATCAAAGTGAAAATATGGATTTTCAAAATGAATTCTGTATTTTATCCTGCATGACATCATTTTGGAATAACATCAAGCACTGTCCGGATTGCATTGATATTGCCAGCAAAAAATGAAAAAGAATTCAGCATCTTTTTCTCACATACAGATGATGAGTCCTGTGTTCAGTATCTCCCCATGGAGACTATGTAAAGCACCGTAAAGCAGCCCAACAAGTTACTGTTGATGTGATACTGCCAGTAACCTGAGAAACCCTGCCAGGCACATCCTCATGTTATATGGAAATGTTTTGTATGTGTGTGTCCAGAGAAGGTGGTGTCTGCTTAAAAGTTGAATATTACATTTTTTAATAATAATAAATGTACTTAAATTTCAGGTCAATGGCAATATAATAGCTGTAGTTTTTGAGTTTAGTATTTAACTTGTCAGTAAGTAATAACAGTTATAGGAGTTATGCAAAATTCCTTACACTGACAGAAAGATAAACACTACAGTTAACTTAAGAAACAGATAAAAAACCCAATTGATCTAAGACAGAGGCCAGAGAAGGACACAGTGCTGCTGAGGAAAACATCCAAAATGGATAAAGGTTAGGAATTATAAGATTTATAGAAGCAAAGGCCTTTTTGTATTATGCTGCATACAGTAGCTCCACTGTAATAATAAGTTATTTTAGTCGATTTCTAAATCTCTGCTCCTTGTTAATTGGAATTGCTTCTAGTCCTTATGCACCTGTAACAGCACTGTTACCATAGAAATCATTTTCCCAGTCACTTGTCAACATGACATCAGACCAAGCTGAAATATTGTTATTGTGTTCTTCTCAGCCCTCCAGTGCTTTTGATTCATTTAAACTAATGGGAGATGTTACTATTGTCTTCTTTCATAAACACTTATTGGACTTATTGACTCATTAAGTATATTTCCTGTTTCCCTTTCATCTTCAAAAAATATTCTATTATTAGCTCTCAGGGCCTTTACTGTAGTTTCCCCTCTCTGCTTTTTCTCATACGACTATGTAAGGATGATATTATGCTTTGGCAGTTATATCGTCCCTTTCTTCACATACATTTTCTCCTGGTGCTCTGGTGACCTTCCAAAGATATGTTCACTAGGTTAATGTGTGTACCCTGTGATGGAATATTGTCCTGTCCAGAGTTTAGCCTTGCCTTGCGTCTTGTGTTTCCAGAATTGGCTCCAGACAGATACCTGGACTAAGTTATGTTCTAATAAAAAATGGAGACATAATGGGGGGAAAATTGGCATTGGTTTTAGGACCCTGATACAATTGCTCTCTTTATAAGGCCTGCTTTATTTTTTCTGGCATGTGGTGGCAACACTCTACACAGTTTTGTAGCATTATTTTTCCTGTACATAGTTAGTAAACATCTCTAATAATATCAAAGGATGCTGGCTAAGGGTCTTCAGTGGGTCATGCTCCGAAGGCAATAATGTATATAGAGCAGAATGAGTAATTTCATTAGATATCAACACCACTATCCTTATTATGCCAGCTGAGCAGAGCTGACTTTAGAATCATGGTATCACATCAACGAGCATTCCTTTGATTTTGATTGTGAGCCTTGCCTGAGTTTGTCTCGCTCACAGCAAGAGAGGGAGTCTTTCATCTCAGATGCCTTGTCCTCCAAAGGTACTAGGACAGCAAAATCCCAAATCCAAATTTTTTCCTATAAAGTCAAGTAATTTGTATCTTTCAGATTAATGTAAACAAACAGTACAATATATTATGTATTATTTTTTCGGCTAATCCCATTTATACATCTGATCATATTTAAAGAAAACTGTGGTACTGACTGTGTCCAATGCATTGATGTCAAATAACCATGAGTGTGGGAACAAATTAATTTTAAATAAATTTTAGAATGTAAAAGTCAGTATTTGGTTGCAAATGTCTTTGAGGCAATATACTGTACAATATACAATATATGGATTGAACTTTTTGTCACAGTATATATGGATGTCAAAATATATCAGAATACAGTGTATTCCACTGTAAATCAAAGGATATACCCCCTGATCTGTAATAAGACAAAACATTCTGTAACATACAGCATACAGGTATATTTCTAACCCTAACTCTACCTGGGGTTTCAAAAGAGCACTTCCGCTATCTATATCTGAACTTCTGGTCATCGGATTTTGACATGTTCCCCAAACCAAAAAGTATGAGTGGGAAACTTTCAAGACAATTGATCAAAGCTCTTGCAAGTAAATAAGATTCAGTAATGCTTGGTAGCAACTTTTGATTCGATCGAATCAGTTTTGGGATACAATTGCGCAATACAGACCCCCCCCAAAAATACATTCAGATAGGAAGTAAAAACTACTCGTCGTTAACATGACTTGGGACCCAAAATTCACCCCTGAGCGTAAAAATTGTCTAAGTAGTATGGGAATGCTAACCCTAACCCTACCTGGGGTGTCAACTGAGCATTTCTGCTATCTATATCTGAATTTCTCTGGGCATGAGTTTTTGACATGTTCCCCAAAACAAAAAGAATGAATAGGAAACAATCAAGACCACTGATAGAAGCACTTGCATTTGAATGAGATTCATTAATGGATGATTAAAACTTTTGATCCTACCGACTCAGTTTTCAGATACAGTTGTTGTGTGTTGCACCGCGACATCCAGGCCCCTGGGGGTTTCTGAAAAAAAAAAATTCAGATAGGACGTAAAAACCACTAGTTCTAAACCAGACTTGGGAACCAAAACCCAGCCCTGAGCTTAAAAAATGTCTATGTAGTGTGTGAATGCTAACTCTAACCCTACCTGGGGTGTCAACTGAGCATTTCTGCTATCTATATCTGAACTTCTAAGATTTTGACATGTTCCCCAAACCAAAAAGAATGAGTGGGAAACAATTAAGACAATTGATCAAAGCTCATTCAAGTGAATAAGATTCATTAATGCTTGGTTACAACTTTTGATCCGACTGACTCAGTTTTGGAATACAATTACCATGCGGTGCACTGCGCTATCTAGGCCCCAGGGAGTTGCCGAAAAAAAACATTTAGATAGGAGCAAAAAACCACTCATCCTAAACCTGAATTGGGTCCTAAAATCCTGCACTGTGTTTACAAAATTGTCTAAGTAGCGTGTGAATGGTAACCCTTACCCTTCCTCTGGTGTCAAAAGTGCATTTCGGGGATCTACTGTATGTCTGAACTTCTCTGGGCATCGGATTTTGACATGTTCCCCAAACCAAAAAGTATGAGTGGGAAACTATCAAGACAATTGATCAAAGCTCTTGCAAGTGAATGAGATTCAGTAATGCTTGGTAGCAACTTTTGATCTGACCGACTCTGTTTTGGGATAAAATTACCATGCGGTGCACTGCGCCATCCAGGCCACAGGGAGTTTCCGAAAAACAAATATTCAGATAGGAGCAAGAAACCTCTCGTCCTAAACCTGAATTGGGTCCCAAGATCCAATACTGTGCTGGACACCCCTACCTTCTTTTAAAAAAATGTATTTTGATAAATTATTCTTGAGTAAATTTCAATTCCTAGCTTTAAAAAACACACTGGACATCAACATATAGTTATCACTATTTATGCATATGTCTTTTTAGAAAAACAAGGTACTGTAAGTAGATTCTACATATTAATATCAATATTACTTAAGTGTACTGCACTTACTGTAAGTGGCTTTGAATATTATGTAAGTACACAATATCACCATTATAGTGTGAGAGTTGCCTGTACACTGTAGATGAAGGAATTTACAATGTTGTAATTCAAACCTAAAAATCAAAAATCAAAAACACTAACAGGAAACATTATGCTTACCATGAGAACAATGGTTCTGTGTTATCAGTAAGTGGGAACCTAGACTAAATCACCTCAGGTGAAATTGTTAACAGTGTACTCATATCTTCTTTAACAATTAGTTACATTTTTGTGTTCACTACCCAGCTGGAAGTCAGTGAATGTGGTGGAGATATGTACAGTAGACTTATTTGCTAACTGTTGTGTACCACAAAGTAGTCAATGAGGAAGCCCAAGAGTTACGGTCAAGGTGCAACAGAAATCCACATCTATTGATTGGTGGCAACCTTACTGCAGGGGGCTGCACTAATGACTCCTGAGACCAGACTTTCTGTGATTCCTGCGAGCTCATTATGACATGACAACATTCCAGCAGGATACCACAAGCTCACCAGACTTAAAACCCATTGAACATTTGTGAGATGAACTAGAATAACATTTGGCATCTAGGACTTTGAAAACAGTAAACAGTCACATGCTTGTCGGGACTTTACAAGTGGAATGGGACAAAATTCCCCAAGACAACATCTGCAACCTATTGCTGTCTCACACACACTACTAAGCTGTAACTTTCATAATCAACCCCCTGTTGATGACAAATGTTAATCAACATAGTAGATTTATCTCTTTTATGTATGTTGAATAAAATATTAGTGTATCTCCTATAAAAAAAAAATTGTCTGATAATTTTGTGAATTTGCTGCCTATTCAATTCAATTCAACTTTATTTGTCATTATACTGTACTTATACAGGTGCTTAGCATAATTAAAGGTTTCTCATTAGTCTCTCAGGTGCAGTTTATATATATAGAGCAGCAAACAGGACAACTGACAGTTAATACAGTAACAGTGTAAACAACAGTATGGTACCAGTGTGACAGTACCCATATCTATTAAAAACTGTGAAAAAGTACACAAACTGAGCAAACAGTGCAAAATACTTCAAAGTGATTATTTCAGTGCTTGGTATATCTGTGATACTGAGAATAAAATACAATTATTATACAGTAATATTATTAAAATACTGTCCTTTTTGTGAAAGCCTTTAATAATGACAAAAATGCACGGGAGTATAGGACTTTTCATCCCAAGGGATTAGATGTGCTTTACAGTAATGATGAAGAGACCCATTTCATCCACCACTGAAGTGCAGCATCCAACTGGGCGATATGCTGAAGTCATTATGCCCCACCACTCTGCTACTCAGCATCATACTGGGTCAGTGGTTTGCAAATTGTGGTCAAGGTGGAAAAGAGTCACTTACTGGTTCACCAACAGCACTTACTTCAACCTTACTTGGTTTTGGAGATCTGATGAGATCAGGCTACATGGTAATAATTCTAGCATGTAGGCAACAATTCAAAGGGTCCTAATAAAGACAGTATATTTTTATATACTTTCAATCTTAGTTGTGCTTTGTCATTTTAAAGGAATGCTGAAACCCTGTAAAAAATCACAAAAATAACACTCTGAGCCTGCACAGACTGCCTCATTGACACAGCTCTCTGCTGGGATTTCCAACAGGAACTCAATATTTGCAAATGATAAAAATGTTTTCTATTCCAACTTGGTATGATAATACTTGGATTCAAGCATGCATTTAAAATTCTCAAAGGCAACAATACCTACACAAATGATTTAGATGTGCCAAATGGCCTCTCATTTGCAAATACTTTCATGTTCCTGTGCGTACTTTCAGATTGAGAAAAAAGGTTCATTAGCATGCAAATTTGAACAGACATGGAAAATATAATATTCACCCAAATGATCACAGGAGACATAGTAGGATTGGTATACCCTTTCATTATTCCTTATATCCCGCTGTTATCAGAAAGCTGTTTTTGTTGTAGTATGCTACAAGGCAACCTAGAACCTTCAAGCACAGGGCACTCAAGACAGGATGCCAGTCCGTCATTTGGCACATAAATAGAGTCAATTTGGAGACACCAATTAACTTAACCAGCATGTTTTTGCAAGATGAGAGGAAACCAGAGCATCTAATGAAATCACACACCGATCACAGATAGGATGAAAAAACTCTGCACAGAAAGTGCTCCAGACTGGTATTGATCCCAAGAACTGTAAGGCAGCAGTGCTAATTGCTATGCTGTTGTGTCCCATCTTTTTATTTCTTTTAAAAAGTCATGAATGATCATTCTTAAAGGCTTTCTCATATTATTTTGATTGTGAGAAATATTAGACAATACAACAGTATCACTAATAATGTATGACCATTTAAGATGTTGCTTTAGTTACATGTTATTATAATTCTCCTGGCCTTATATGATTGAGAGTGGTTCAAAATCCTTGTTACGGGCAACCATTGAGACTGACATGTGCAACATACAATCCCCCTTCACATATACAAAGTTCACATCAAGGTCTAAACCATGTGATTTTAAAAATTCTCATTGGGAATGGAGCTGGAATGGTTCAAACTGACCTTTATTCCTTGACTGGTCTCGTAGGAAGGCAGCCTGAATGACTCTCTAAAAATAACCTTGTGTCTAACTTGAATAATGTCTATGTAAAGCAATACCATGTGACAAGATAAGGTAAGACGAAAGGTTGTGCTGTCCAGTTTTAAAACAAGCCTAACCCAGGGGCTTTAACAGAACAGAGATATCACTCACATAGCAGAATGTAGAAAAAAGCTACTGAGATTTGAGTTTCAATGTTTACTGGCAGGACAGTCTGGAGCATTTCAACAAGTACATTGATTAAACCAGACACAGCAAGTACTGCAATACTGTGGTACAATTAAAATAAGATACCTATCATCTGGTAACATGTTGTAAAGGAATTCATTTAGGAAGACACCTCTTAACTGTCCAAATATTTGCAAATTCTGAGAGTTTGCCAAACTAGAGAGTTCAAGGGAGGGGAAAATCAATTACAAAGTTAATTACTTCCATTTATTTTGGTTACTGTATTGAAAATGTTTAAATGCATTATACATTCAAGACACAAGTGATTTGATCCATTAATAACCAGATCATGTGCACAGCAAAGATTGATTGCTGCTTTTCAATTACTATGGATCAACAGTTATAGCAAAACATGGGGATATGAATTATTAATAAGAACACTTTTATTAATATGAACACTGGAAGCATATCCTGCATTTGCATTTGTAATGTAATTTTATTATTTAATAACTGCTTAACACTGTATTTCTCAAGCTTTATAAATGAAGAAACAAGTGGCTTATAATTGAAGACTAACACTTTTTAATATGATGACTTACATATGGACAGTTTCAGTGATGAAAAACGACATATATTTTTAAAAATCAATATCCCACATGATGGAGTAACATGAAATAAAAAACAAAAATTAGAATTTTATCCTTCGCTATTTCTTAAAAAACATTTAAAGGAGTGATATTTATATTTTAGCTTTTCATGAAGAGAACGTCCTCATCCATCAAAGAAGAGAAGCACTTCCACTAGACTAGTTGGACAACATAATCCATCTACCTGCTCCATGAAATAGATTGTCTGGATGCATATCTTTCTTTTCTGATGCTCAAGTACAATCCATGGGGAACACCTCCGTATTTAACAGTAAATGACTTCAAATTAGTACAGTAGGTCTGTAAATAAAGAAAATTGCCCATACTACCAATGGAAGAACATTATGCAAAAATATTGCCTTACTTTATTAGGTTGCCCATCTCTTCTTATTTTCCTCTTTTGCTTAGCTCTTTCCTTAATAGATGCCCAGCAATTCATTTTTTTTCTGCAATCTCTGCTCACCTAGTTTTTTAGCCCTGAACATCTCATTCAAAGCTTTACATTTCTCAATTCTGTCAATTTACTTCCACAAAATGGCATAAAAATATTAAACTTTCATTGAAATAAAGTATGTGCAGTATCTATTAGACAGTAACCCAAGCTATTATTTATTTTTGAGGCAACAGACTGCCATATGTTAGATGTAGCCCTATTTCTTGGTTAATGCAGATTTTTTTACATTTAATTATATCAGGAGAACATTTAATTATTTAACAGTTTATACAATGTATAGCATTCCAAAAACCACCCCCAAGAAACACATTGGCTTTTAGGACAACAACAATCGTCTCTTTCTTAGAAATTAATTATAGTGTGGCCAAAAGATAAATTGTCACTGAGACTAGCCTTTTGATTTGTATACTTCCCCTACATCCATCCCTGTTAAAGCTTTGCAGAACATTTGAATTTTTTGACAGAAAACTATTTAAATATTCATAAAGCCTGAACGTAGATCTATTATTTCTTGTTTTTTTTTCCAGTACTACCAGTATTACCAGAATCTGTTTGTTCCTCATTACTACCCAACTTCCGGTCCAGGCCTTAATTCAATTTAGCCAGACAACTTCATTCGACAGCCCAGCCTGTTTCTACCATTCACTACCTACAACACATGAAAACTCCGCCATCCATCCGTTTCCTAACCACTTCTTACAGTTCCGGGTCAGCACATACAATCTCCATGAAGATAACAGGGGTCCAATACTATCCGTGCCACCTTGCCACTCAAAGCTCCCTCGCATTTCTCTGTGCCTTGCTCCACATACGCTACTTCTTTGTTCTTGTGTGACCGTCGCGTTCCTGAGCGGGCTCTTGCCGTCGCCCTTCCGCCCTGCCGGTTCGTCCCTCACTGCCTGGGCGAGAACCCGGGTCTCTGGCGTCGCGCAAGTGAGAACCAGCCGGCTGAGCTAAAGGAGACCTCTCTGTTGTGCGCGGGGAGGGCGGTGACGTCGCCGTGCCGCAACCAGCTCTGCTACACCTGTTCTTGTCCCTTTCCCAGATCCTTGTCGTGGTTTACCAACCAATGCGCTGCTCGGCTCCCTCCGACCTCCAGACACCTGTCTTTTCCCTGAACGTCCCTGAATTTCTGATTTGCTCCTCCTCCGCTTGAAGACTTGCTGTGCCTTTACTGTTCCTCTTCCACACACATTCCGGCACTATCACCTTCTAACACCTCTTCTAAACTCACCTGAATAAAATGTACCTTGGAAGGAGTGCCCACCCTCACTGCTATCCCATTGTATGGTATGTGTTGTCAGAAATAATCTGTTCCACTCCCTTTACTGTGCCTCCACAGTGTTTCTTGTTACAAGGTAAACAGAAGTTGTTTGTTTACACTGTGAAAATTATATATTATATTTCCTTGAATTTATATTGCTTGGCATTAGCTAATGGGAACAATGGAGGTGTCTCATTTCTAACCTTGAGCATTATATTCAATAAATGCATCAGCAAATGCATGCCAAAGACAATGATGATAATAATCATTTGGGTGATGATAAGTTACCGCCATCCTCCTCATAATTCCCCATCTCTTGATTTATTGTGAATGGAATACAACAAAATAAGGTAAGGATCTGGGCTTCTTAAAAAAAGTGTTTTTTTATTTATTTCTTGTACCATGCAGCAAAATAATTAAAATGTTTGAAAGTGTTGGAAAATAGAAAGTTATATTTCCCATGTAATTATAAAACCAATGCTAGCATCTGTGTAGCAGTCATTCTTTAGAAGCTGAAAGTGGAAAAGTCTTCAAGATCTACAGTACCTAATGTAATATTCTCAGAGGACACTGCTAATTGAGCATAACACAGAGATGGAAAAGATATTATTCTTGCTATTCAAACTAATCAATGGGCTAAACACCACCATTGGTGTGTAATATACAGTACACTCTAAGATAATGCATTCATCAGTGTTCCCTTCTGTTTATTAACATGTATTGTAACGGTGTACTGTATTGTCATTTTTACTTCAGTCATTTGCCCATAATTGTAATTTTTGAGATTTAGAACCTTAAAGCCTGATGTTGTAAAACCATTGATTTTTTGTTAGCAGTAGCTTTTGAAAAAAACTCTAATGTTTCAACTCATCTAAATCTAAATGAGCAGATTGTTTTTTAATTAAGCAGACCACTGACTACTTCATAAACCCAGAGGGAACTATTCATCTGAGCACATTGTCATTATACACCAGTCTCAATGCTAATCTGCATAAGTCCATGTAGGCAACGCTGATGCTGTGCCTTTCAAAACATTCTCAAAACCTGACCACACAAAACACAAGGTATAACCTTAGCAGAATGTTGACCAAAAGCATCCACAGACAAATTCAGCATTAAGAACTGAGCATAGTTGACCATGTAAAAGCAAGTTCCTCTGCCGTTTCAGTTCATCTCCATACCATTAATCAGTGCATTCTCTGCCATCATTTTCCATAAATCAGTCATGCTGGGTTAGCAATCTCATCACCAGCTGTCTCCGTCTTAATTAATACTGCAACCCACCATCCTCCTGTGATGCTAACAAGCCACAAGCCAGGGCTTCTGCCACTTTAGAAAAAAAACGTGACAGTTTGTCTTCTTTTCAGCCTTTAACTTCCTAGTGGCCACTCCATTAGAGGTCTGTGTGCTGTACATTTTTATCTTTGAAAGTGTTTGTCTGAAATGCTTAAACTGTCATGAAAAATAGAACATAACGTTCCTGTTTCCATTTGGCTTCACAGATTAGGAAAATATATACCAATGTAATTCGGGTTATTTAACTAGATATTAGTGTGATAAGACAATTTTTTACAGTCTTATTTCCCTAATATTCGGACAATAATCACTTTCTGTTTTATCCATCCATTTTCTAACCACTTTATTCAATTCAGTCACCATTCGGTCACCAGAGCCACCCTCAGCACGCAAGGAGTGCAAAGTGGGATATACCCTTGACAGGACACCAGTTCATCACAGAGCAGACACAGACACGCACCAGGGCCAGTCTTTCCTAGAAAAGTACGCATTTAAACTGTGGGAGGAAACAAGAGCACCAGGAGGAAAAGCAGGAATTGAAACCAACCAAGGCCCCAGCTCTGCAAGGCAGCAATGCTAACCTTTGCTTATCCTGGTGAAAGTTGCAACACGATAAAACCAATTCCAGAAACACAGCGCTCAAGGTGGAATTGAAAACATATGATTGCTTCTCCTTGAATGGGACAATTTAGAACGTAAGCAGCATTCCTTGTGGAAGGAAACTGCATCTCATGGGAAAATCACAGAAAAATGTGGGGGGAAGATGCGAATTAGACACAAACAGACACACTAGGATAGAATCAAAATGAGTATCAAGGAGGCAGTAGTGCCAGTTGCTATGCCAGCAAATTGCCTGTATATAAAATTCAGAAAACTTATTTTGTGAAGTCCACAAGCCTCCACAAGAATTATGAGCAACAATTCTTTGAATTTATGTACTGTAGCACTTTTGATCGCAGAGGAGCTCAAAGCACTTTACATATAAAAGAGGACTAAATTTACCCACCTAGCCTGGTAATGTTTATGATATAGCACATTATTATTGATTTGCTTAGTAAATGCCCTAACCCAGGGTGACTTAAAAAAATTTAAGACATCAAGGTCAGCATCTCAACACTTTTTTAACAGTGTGATGGGACCTTTAATGAATAATTGGCTAGAACCATGGTTTAAC